GACACCACCACGGCGCGCGAGACGGCGGATAGCGGGCTTGGTGATACCCTGGATGTTGTCACGAAGAATCTTGCGGTGACGCTTGGCGCCACCCTTTCCAAGACCCTTGCCACCTTTGCCGCCTGCAGAGGTATGTTAGCATGTTGTCTTGTGGTAATGATAGATGCGGCCACGGCATGGTGGTTGTGTATGAGTGTCGTGATGCGCGGTGCATTAGTGGGGCGACGCGTTGAGCCTCAACACCAAGCGCGCCTCACCGCCATGTGCAGCAGCGGCAACAGCAACGACAACGTCGATGCGCGGGTAATGGAAGAGGAACAAAGATGTACTTACGTCCAGTCATGTTGTTGGAAGGTTAGTGGAGATGAAGGTGATGGGTATTGGTATATTACGCGCGTTGGTGCAGCGTAAATGGCGAGGATGAAGATGAAAGCTGGGGGTTGCGAAAAGAGAAGAAAGAAAAGACTCCAAAGACGCGGGTGGGCCGGTTATATAGACGAGGGCGGCGGGCGCGGGTGCCTCCAGATCACACCTGGGCACAGAGTGGCGCTAGGCCCGGTCGGGGCGAGTCAGAACATGAAATCAAAGGCCTTGCGCCTTCACATCTGGGGGAAAATCAAAAGCGTGGAAAGCAGCACTTCCAATTCCCACTGCGCTTGCAGGCGCGCCGGGCTGCTGATGCTGGTGTCGGCGAAATGGCCCGTGCGGGAACTTCAATCGCGGCCTGCCGACGCGACTGGAACACCAACGTCGGATTGCGATGATCGCTCTGCATGTGGCTACAACGTGCTGCACTCTCTCCAAACTTATCGGAAGACGACTGAATATGCAAAGAACCTCTTGCAATATCGAACAATGTTTTGCGCGTCTTGTATCACATACGGCACGCCTTCTTCACCCCTCCACGACGCGTTCACGCTGTGCACACACTCCACCAACCACCGCAACAAGCAACTAGCAAAGACGCGTTCAATTCCAGAGAAGGTTCCTCTCATTATCCTGTCTACTCTTGTCTCTTAAAGTTTATACATCATGTTTCTCGTCCACTTTCCAGAAACATCTACTCGAAGCTTTCACTGCCATGTTACATACTCTCCAGCTCTTTCAACATGTTCACACTTCCATGACCAAGATTTGCTTATATCATACCCTTACTTGCTGCTTTCTGAGAAGATACAGATGGAAACATGGCGTCACATCGGTCGCAACCTATCGTTGAGAGGTCGTGTCCCACTCTTTAGATATACTTGCTGGTTATTCACGCGCATGCCTACCAATGCAAACGTATGAGTCACGTAATCCGTATCGTTGCCTGGAGTTGCTTTACCCGGCTGCCGTCTAAAGTCCTTAGTGGTCATGTTGGGACGAACCATGTGGCACAGGATGTGTCTACCTGCGCTGGGTCTCCACATTGCGCACCTCAGCATTGCATGCTTGTCTGCATCGAGAGGGATATCGCGGTGGAGCAGCCACGAGAGGGTGATCTCGGGCTGAACCGTCAGCAATAGATCAAACAGGGCTTGCACCTCAAAGGCATACTTCAATACCGTCGATGTGAACTAAAACAAATTCATTGCGAGAGCTAGCTAATCAACACGGACTATAAACGAGGGGCATGCTACAAACTATCCATCTAATCAGAAGCGTGACATGACCATATCCACTCGCCACTTGTACCGTCTTCCAGGCCTAGAGTAAGCTTTACTTTGTCTCATCGGTCTTCTTGACAGCAGCCTCCTCATCGGCAGCCTCCTCGTAGACAGGAGGAGCATCGTATGCGGGAAGCTCGGCGTACTCCTCCTTCTCTCCGCGCTCCTCCGCCTCTTCCACATCCTCCTCGTCCAGAGCAATCGGCTGGTAGCGCTGACCACGGACCTTCGCAACGGTAATAGCGATGAGACATCCGAGAGCCATGCCGACAAGGTATGTAAGTGTACCAGCGAAGATACCGATGAGGATAGGGACGAAGATGGTGAAGAAGGCGCGACGAGCCATCTTGGCGAAGCCGTGGTGACGGTGTTGACCCATGTGGTGAGGGTGGTGTTGCGGGTGAGCCTTGCCAGGGCGGAAGCGGTGCGGGGGCTTTCCAGCCATGCCCTCATGCTCCATGGGGTTGTTGGGACGGGCACCGGCGTGGGGTCGCTTGTGGCAGCCGGGCCTAGGCTTGCGCATGTCCTTGATCTGCTCGATGCGGTCGGCCATGATGTTCTTCCACTTGCAGTAAAGCGGCCACTCATTGCACTCCTTGTCTGATGGTGTGGCCGGGCTACGCTCAGCCTCGTTGAAGGATGCGATCATGAGGCGACCCTCCGAGTTCTTCAGAACGTTGATCTGGAGCGCAGGAGGATTGACAGTGGTGCCTTCGACCGAGGTGATTTGGAAGGTCATCGGAAGGAGCTCGGTGCCCTCCTCTGAGATAGTCTCTGCGCCGTCGTAGCGGAACTCATAGCCGGTGATTTGCAGACGTAGACCCTCTTTTGTAGATGGGTCCACTTGTGTGAGAGTGTAAGGCTGGGGAGGGAAGCCGAACGATGGCGGGTATAGTTGGGCGTTGTCGAGGTTTAAAGCGTCGCCATGGGGTCCGACGTCAAAGTCCAGGCGCTGTTGGCTGTTAGCATGCAAGGCTGTGAGGCATATAGCCGACTACGTACGAAGGCACTCCCAACATCAGACTTCCACTTGAGATCTTTTCCATCCAAGGTCGCAACGGCGCATCCAGGGCACTCCAGCGCGACGGATCGCTGGCTGGGGTTGATGGCGAGAGACTCAAAAGCGTGGTCGTCTCCGAGGTCTTCCACGTTCGTCATGGTCGAAGGGATGAGCACGGCGCTGGCGGCCAGCGCCAAATGGGCGAAAACACCCAACTTGCTAGGAGACATCGTGGGTTGTATTCAGGATAATTCAAAGGTTGAAAGGCGAAGAGGTGTTGCAGAACGAAAGTATCAAGGAGAATGAGGGAGGCAGTGCCTCAGCCGTGCATTACGATTGCCGCCGCGTCATCTGTCACGTGAAGGGCCGGACCCTGAAGTTTAGCTGTCAACATGTCGCACGCGTGAAACATTCGTCGAACCAAGCAAAGCAAGCAGTGAACCTAGCGACAAGGCAAAGTATACTTAGGCTTCGAAGTATTGATGTAACATCCTACTGCGCGATGTGTCGGTGGCTTCTGGTATGCCCGGGTGACTGCTTCCTGGGCGCTTACCGGAGCTTCCCCGACGGTCGTTTGTCTGACATCGTCGGAGACCAACGCACAGACCCGACTTTCGTCTGTAGTTTCTAGCCACTCCTTCAGTCTGTCAAATCAATACAGATGGGCTTGAGACTCGCAGCGATGCGCGTAAGCGCTGGCAACGTGAGCCCCTCAGCTGAGCTCACTAGGCAGCATAAGCCTAGCTCAATCATCGCAACTTCATAAGACAACACTTCACCTCGTTGTCAGATCCATCTTCAAACTTTCAGTTCCGCAAAACATCATGCGACTTATTGACGCTACCACACTTGAGCTACGGCTCTTCATGGATGAGTCTCTGATACCGCCATATGCCATCCTATCACACACGTGGGGCGAGGACGAAGTCACTCTACAGCAGTTTACGAACCATTCACTGCGGGACGATGCCACTTTCAGAAACAGCCGCGGTTACTGGAAGATTCTGAAAGCCTGTCAGCAAGCCCTGAGCGACCGTTTGACGTTAGTATGGGTGGACACTTGCTGCATCGACAAGACGTCTTCTGCAGAGCTGAGCGAAGCAATCAACAGTATGTTCCGGTGGTATGAACAAGCGGCGGAGTGTTACGCCTATCTCGATGATATCAATGTGGGCTCCGAAGCCTGGGCTGACAGCCTCATGTCCAATGACGATAAAGAACAGCTTGCCAGGTCGCGTTGGTTCACTCGAGGATGGACCTTACAAGAATTACTAGCTCCAAAGGAGATACGGTTCTACGGAACAGAATGGAGACATTTTGGCAGGAAGAGCTCGTTGTGTGTCGAACTGGGGCGCATCACTGGTATCAACGCAGACGTGCTTTCAGGTAAAAGCGACATGAAGGACGAGAGTATCGCAAAGCGAATGAGCTGGATGGCCGGGCGCAATACGACACGAATAGAAGACATGGCATATTCCCTGATGGGCATTTTCGACATCAACATGGAGCAAATGTATGGTGAAGGGAAAAAGGCTTTTGTTCGGCTTCAGGAAGGCATCATGAGGTTTATCGCAGATCAAAGCCTATTCGCATGGGAAGAACCCCTTCCACACTCTCCTGGAACGCCCACCTCGGTATTTGCGAGTCACCCAAGGCAATTCGCCACTTCGAGCGGGATAATCAACCGCAGATTCGACGACGAATTTAGGCTGCCAGAGGACTATTTGTGTACAAACCGCGGCGTCAAGATCAAACTCCGCATCCGAAAACCGACTGGTTCCTGGGGCGGACTAGCACGTAGCGAAGAAGATTTCCTGGCCGTGCTCGATTGCCGCTACGAAGACCCGAAATTTGAGAACTGCTGGCCTGCCATCACAATCAGACCGCTCAAAGGGCCCAAAGGACAGTACATTCGTGTTGAAGGCCCAGCAATCCTTCCTGTTGTTTTTGGCGATGTCAGCGACGCCCAGAAGCAAATGGGCGTTATATCTGTTGGCGATATAGACGACGGAGAATGGGTTTATCTTCGGGCAAAGGTTCCTGGCTGGGCTGCCCACTGAACTTCCAAGCAAATTGCAAACTGTTGAATCTCGGATACGAGGAAGCTACATTGGATATATAACGATGCAGGTTACGTTCTAAGCGGCACATTTAGCTCGTCGATGACGACATGATTTAAACTAACTAATGAGCAATATGACCAACGCCAGAAAATGCTCAACGCTACATGGTATCTCTCGCTTCCCAAATGTCCCAAGATGAACTTACATCAACAACACAGACCCCGAACAATATCAACATCCCAAACGCCATGCTAATCATACAATCATGAACCCCAGAACCTTCTATGCTCACATCCGACTAACCTGCACCGGCACTCCCGGATGCATATTAAGCAAATACTGTGGACCAGGCATCGTCCCACCGCCATAATGCGTGCGACTCGTATTCCTCACATGCTGCTGCTGCCTCTGTCCATCAGCACCAAACTCCCTACTATCATTCTGCTCCGCACTGTGCCCATACGGCATACTGTTCTCCTCCATCTTGCCCAGCATGACCATCTCATCGCTGTCCTCGCCCGCTCCGCGGTTTTGTCGCCTCTCGGCGCGGGAATATGCGGATCCGCGTTTTCGGATGCATGACTGGATGATGAAGATGAAGAGGAAGACGGCGATGGATATGGCGGTGTAGATGAGGACTATCGGCCGGGTTTGGCCTGAGAGGTGGAGTCCAAGGCCGCCGGTTAGGATGAGTAGGACGAGGGAGGCTGAAGCGAGGGGCGTGTGGAGAGCTTTTTGGAGGCGCGGGAGGTATGGTTTCAGGGATGGGAGGACGCTGGTCAGGAGGAGGGGTAGGAGGGATATGAAGGCGATGATCTGGTGCGGAGTGTTGAATGCTTTCGACTGGGTACGCGTTAGTATGGGGGTGGTGACGTGGGCAAAGGGTAACTTACGCGATTATACTGCGCACTGGTGACTCCTCCCAATACATAACTGACAAGCAGGAAGATCATGATGAGTACGCTGAAGACGACGTGTATCTTGATGTTCTTGAAGAAGGCCACGAGCAGCACGTTGAGTGGCCAGAGTAGGAAGAGCGCTAGACATCCTATGACTGCGTGTGCGAGGTTCGCTCGGTCGTGGTCTCGGGTCATGTCGCCCACCATGCTTACACCGTTGAGTGCGTTGCTCTTTGCTGGCACGCCGCCTAGCCCGGTAGCGGTCGCCATGTCCATGGTGAAGTGACCGTAGCGGATGTGGCGTTTGAGGTTCGCGGAGGGAGAGTCGGATTGCAGGTTCTGTCCATGGCCAAAAGCGTAAATCATCGGGTGTGCTGTCGCTTCGGTGTCAATGAAGGAGCGGCAGTTGCCACATCGCGCTCTCAAGATGAGCATGTCGTCGTCGACTCTGGTTCCTGGAAGGACGGTAATGGAGACGGAGGAGTTGTAGGTTGGTTCTGAGGCTTTGGACCCGATGCGTGTGGATATCGTTACATCTGGTACCTGTTAGCATGTGTCTTGCAATTAGACTTTATGTGAATGAGTAAACATACTATCACTCTTGTCGTTGGGGTACATGATGAACATCAGACTCCCTTCCATCTTCTCTCCAAACCCAACGCCGACCCATGAGTACGCCGGGCTGGCGTAGTAGATGAACACATCATCTGAGTCGTCCGCGATGTTGAGAGAGAATTGTGTTTCTGTCCGATCAAGGTAGAAGGTCGATGCGGTAGTGACGTTCGTTGTTGTGTTTTGGCATGATATGAGCGCTGGGAACACTGCGCAACAAGTTAGCAACGTGCATGGAAAGACAAGCAATCGTATATAGTTCGAACTACTAGAGATGACTTACAAGCCAGCAGCGCAAGTACCACACCCACTCTCTGCCGTACGTGTATCATGGAAAACATATTTCAGTACCAAATAGCACCCAAAAGCGCGCGCAATAATCAACCGAGCTCTTCAGTTTCAAGGCAATCAAATGGAAAAGAACGGGAAGAAAGAGCGAACAGCAAAGCAATACCCAATTAATCCCCTCAAAAGTAAAGTACCACAGCATAAACAAGCCCTAAACCCAACGCCTCCCCCATCGGGGACCTTATACTTTGCATACAAACCTACTCCTACACGCCAAACCCCATGCCTGCCAACACGCCGCACATGAAACAACCACAAACCCGACCCCACCAACCGCTCGTCCAACCACTCGCCTTGCCGCAACGCCAGCTCAAGAATGTCTTATCTTGGAACAAAGTCGCCTATGACGAGGGCAGCCACTCAGCAGCGCGACGAGCTGGAAATTGAGCTCGTGTGGAGCGGGCGCTTAGGGGACGGACAGGGTTTCGAGCGTGTTCGCCGCGTCGTGTAACAGGCGTGGAAGCGCCCGTACAAGACAGGGGGGACGTGCCAAGCGGGGTAAGCGGCGCCCGTGGGCGTCGTCTGTATTTTTAGCCTTGCAGCGCGAGCGCGCTGTATATAGTACACTTCGGGGAGAAAGGGACAGCGTAATTGGAAATATGTATATGATGTAACGTTGTGTTCGATCGTGTGAGTGATCGCGATTGCGATGGAAAAGGCAAGGGCTTGAATGAACTTGTGGTCTGATCGTGTGTGCACCCTTGCTTTTGCGGCATGCACACAGCCATCACTAAAAGCAGTCCGACGCCAGACTTCACTAGAATAGGTTTTATCGATAGTTCGCAAACAGATAGATCACAACGTCAACGCCAATAAAGCTCATGAATTTGATTGGTAACCGCATAAAAAAAGAGAATTATGTACCTCCCCACCATCCGCCACTTTGATCGATTTCCACATCCGAAAAAGCATCAAAGAAAACTGCAAAAACCACCTCTTTCTTACTCGCTCCGGGTATGCTAGTCATAATCGTCATAGTCATTAGTGCTACAGGCCGTGTCCTCGTTGCAGGTTGCAGAGATCTTGTGAGTCGTTCGGTGTCAGGTTGAGACTTTCTCCGACAAGCGTGCTGAAAGACCGTGAACGTTGCTCGGAGGTGGCGAGACATTTATAAACACGCTGGCCTCATCGAAGGATTCGCCTGCCGAAACAAACGATGCAGATTGTCGCGGACTCAACAATGGTGTAAGACTTCGCTGAAGGGCTCCCGAATCTCCAACCCGCAGGACCGGCGTCAAGTGAAAGCTGTACGAGCGTCCTCGTCCATGTTCAGAATCTAACGGTATCGGCTGCGACGGCTGTCGAACGATACTTCGTGCTCGTAGAAACGGTCGTCGTAGGCTGAGGCTGGGCGAGAGTCGTGGATAGACTTGCGTTCAATCTCGATTTCCCGAATGCGGCTCTTGCGCTTACGACGAATCTCGTCGGAGATCTCTACGAGGTGCAAAACGTCCTCCTGGATGAATGTCAGTACATGCACCTTGTACAAGGCGTTACAAACTTACGTATCGCAGGTACTCCATGACGTAGAAAAAGTCGTCGGTCTCCTCGCAAGAGTAGCCGCACGAGTCGATGGCTTCGCGGAGGACCAAGTCCTTTGTGATTTCGGTCCACATGTCCTTCTTCTTTTGCTTCACCGATCCCTGGTTGTAAATGTCAGTGGTATGTTCATCGTCGCCGCTGATGAACTTTGATCTGCGAACGCCGTTGTAGCGCTGCCAGGTGATCTCTTGGGCAGCACCACCGATGCCATCCATGCGCACGCGACTGGTGCCGGGTGGCACGTCGATGATGGACCAGTCTTTGGTAACTCCGTTCCAAGCTTCACCAGGGTAGGCTCGCTCAAGTGCTTTGCGGTTGTAGAACTCGGCTTCCAAATCAAAGTCCATATCGGGCATGGGGGCTGTGTGCACACGCCCTGGGGGGCTAAACGACCGCTCGCGGTGACGTACCTGGTCGCGGTTGAAGTTGATATCAATATCGAGCTCCTCGAAGTTGCTCCTTCCACGTCCACGGCTGTGGCTCCTGGCGGAATGTTAGGTTCTGTGTAATGGTATGTGAAGTGACTACTCACTCTCGTCGGTTGATCTCGATCTCGAGGGTCTCGTTTAGTGGAGGGGGAGGAGACGGGGGCGCCGGTGGGGGAGGCGGTGTTGGCGTGCGGGCCCTGACGACACCTGTACGACTGTCAGTATTGAACCTGGATTGTGTTAGCCACAACACTTACCATGGTCGATGTGTCGGTGATGTGTGATGATCTCCTGGATGATCGGGGGACGGATCTCTGGCTCAGGAGCTGGCGCTGGGGGTGGAGGAGGCGGGGATGGAGAGGGCGAAGGAGTGGGTGCTCGCTCCTCCTTGCGGCGGATGATGATCTCGTCTCTTATGACTTCGCGGTTGTTCTGGGGAGGAGACTCAGCGCGTGGACGGCGGATGACAAACTCCTCGCGCTCCCTAGCGATCAGATCGCCGCGGTTGCGCGATGGGGGAGGGAGACTCCTCTCGCGGTTTCTAATCGTCAAGGAGCTCCTCTCTCTGCTGGTGTCCCTGCCATCGCGGCTGAATTCTCGGCGGTTTGCGCGAAGCTCGAAGTTACCGTCACGCTCCTGGAAGCGGATAGAGCCTCGTTCAGCAGAGACGTCCCTGCCGTGGCGGCTGACTTCGCTGCGAGATGCGTGGAAGTCGATGTCGTTTCCACCGCGGCCCCTGAAGCGCACATCGTCGTCGTCCACCTGACGCGGGGCGGGTCGGCTGACAGACCTCACAGGGGGGCCATCACCACGGCGGAAGATGATGTCGTCGCGCTCTGGGGGGCCACGGGACTGCTCGCGGCGCTTGATGGTAATGTCCGTCTCGTCAATGTCGTCTGCTCGTCCGCGGCGTGTAGGGGCCTCGCTGTGACGGATGCTGATGTCGTCCCGCTCCATGCCCCGCATAGCAGAGGGCGGAGGCGGGGGACGGCTCCGAGTAGAGCGCACATCGTCGTCGAAGCCGCCGCGGCTGCTGCGGGGTCCTGCTCGCGAATAGTTGTCCTCATCACGGCTTCTCAGAACCATGGGGCCAGCAGTCGGGCGGTTGTAGTCCTCGCGGAAGAAGTCGGGGGCACTGCGCCTGGGGTCCGGGCCAGTGCCGCGGCGCAGCTCGAGGTCAAGCTCCTCGTAGTTGCGATCGCTGCGGTTTCCATTGCGGTAGAAGTCGCGCTCTCGCTCCTCATAGAGCTCAGCGGTTGGGTAGCGTCGCGACGACATTGTGCGGCTAAGCGACAAGTGAGCGACGGGCGGGGGGTGTGGTGGTGGGGTGACGTGCCGCTCTCACAGGAGACGGCGGATGGGCTGGAAGAAGGAACACGGGCAAGATGGTACGGGAAGGGGAAGAGGGATGGTTATCAAGGTAAGCAGAAGAATGGACTTGTGCCGTGGCCTGACGTTATCGAGAAGGCTGGCCCAGTTGACTCCCCGGCGAGAGTAGTGGGGTTGGTAGCAGGACCAAGGTCGGGCGCTGTCTCGCTCTTCTGCAATGACGTAACCTCCACGCTGCACTAAACCACCCACCCTGATCACCAGCATGCTTCCTGCCCAATGGCCGCCAAAGCCGCTGCACCTCTGGCCCAGTTCGCAGCAGCAGAGCAGAAGCAGTCGCCTGCACGCCTACTGCCCGTCGCTGCGAGCGCATGGCTGCGAAAATTTAGACATCTGTCTTCTGTCATGTGTCACTCGGCACGTTCACAGCCAGCGTTCCCACGAGGCGTTCTGGGGCTGCTGGTGTCAGTCTCACCAGAGCACCGCCCCAGGTGGAAACGCGCCGATTGACCCTGGGGCCTTCAACCAGATTCCAAGGTCGAAGTCAGGTACAGTTCGGGCGCCACATGGAGTCGCTACCTGACCGAACGACAGCCGCGCGAACTCTCTTACCACGGAACTTGGACCCATCGAGACAGCCTGATCGGCGCACTCGAGGTCCTGTCGTTGGTGAATCTCACCAGATCTTCGTGCCCAACAGCGTGCGACGGCGCGAGGCGACCCGCCTGTACCTCATGCTGATCTCGGCGTGAACTTCATCTCTTGGATATCCCTTCACATTAGACTTCACTCCCATAACGTGTCAGACTTCGATGAACTGCTGACTTGATTCTCGTGCGCTGCCCCCGGCACGATCCCTCTCTCGCCCAGCATCCCATGCAAGATGACGTTGTTCGGGCAGACTACCTTGGACTGCAATTTCCCCAGGTAGCGATGGTATTCCAAGACACTCTGGTAGTAACCAATAAGCAGAAATCCTTTTGCGCGACTTACGAGGTCGTGGTCGGTGGCATGTTGCGAGATATGGCGAGAGCAAGCCCTGGGCAGCCCTGCGAGTCGGACCATGTGGCATGTGAGCATACCCTACGTCATTGCGAAGCTTCTTGAAGTAGTCCAGGCTTTCGTATACTCGTGTGTATTTTTCGCTGCTTCTAACGCTCAGGATATAGAAACATAGCCCTGGAGTCCCAAAGACTTGGAGGCTGCACTAGACATCGTTGTACCTCCAGCCTGGTACGGCAGGTGCGGCGCGACGGTTACGCTAAGATGCAGGTGCGAACTTCCACAAACCTGAGCTCGTCTGTCACCTTTTACCAGCACACCTCTACAAGTGTTCCTCTATGCGCTTTCTGTTCTGCATTTCTCTCGGTATCTGTCTCTCACATGCGGAATTCATCCTTGTTTCTTCATCAAGGGTGTAGCCGTAGAGTTCCTGCATCTCCATTTCCACTGAGTTTGCTACGAGCCCCGTATATCCATCCCAATTAAATGGATTTGCTCACAAAACCCGCGATTTTTTCGATTTGTGTCAAAAGATGTAATCATGCTGCCGAGAATCAAATACCAGCACGACGTATGACTGGCTTTTCTAGTTGTGAACCCGAAGCATTACCCTAAAAGTATTCAGTAATTTTCGTGTCTATCCAAAGCATAAGCCAGTCACATCGTACTTTCCACAGTATACT